TGTACTGTAAGCTGTGATATATTTTGTATTCCAGTTCACGCACACACATACACACACAGACACACACACACACACACACATACATACATATACACAGACAGACAGACACACACACACACACACACACACACACACACACACACACACACACACACACACACACACACACACACACACACACACACACACACACACACACACACACACACACACACACACACACACACACACACACACCTTTTTGTTGATATAATAATATCATAGGGGATGTAATATTTTAATGATTTTACGTTATCGTGTTTTATCTAGTCTATTTATGTGGATATAGAGCGAAGGTTTATGTGTCTCTACCTTGATGGCTGTGTTGGCTGAGGGTTCATCCACGACCTACCAGTCCCTTTTCCGTCTACACTCCACACAGCTCAACGCTTCCTAAGAGCTACTCCCACATGCCTTTCCTTTCACTCTACCCAACACTCATAGACTTACCTGAACCCCCCACTCGACCAGTTCCAGGATATGAATAAGAGTTGAGGTCGCTTAATGACGCCCTTGACTTTCCAGAGCTTTTATGGACGGGGTAGGGGGGTGGAGGGTAGGTTATTTTCTGCTTTAACTCAGTAAGTGCTTATATAAACCCGGTGAGCCAACACACAGACGTGCACAAACATAAATACAGACACATCTCTCCTACCAACACACGTCAGTCTTTCGTTCTTGGTTATTAGTCACATGAGGTTCTTTTGTTGAGGACACAGCGTGAGGATGATAAACTGTCAGGGTGTAAGGCTAATTATCGGCGGCTTTGTTACTGTTTGTAATATATGTTTGTAAAGTTACTTTTTCTTTTGATATCACTTTTATTACTTTGAAGCTGTTCATAGATAGATAGATAAACAAGTAAGGGTTAATTTTGTCGACTCTCTCTCTCTCTCTCTCTCTCTAGAACAAAGCCGGTTAATGAATATTTTCCCCCAATATGTACAAACCAGCTAGTTCATTTTCCTTTATTGCCCCTTCTGGTCATATTTATTAGCCAGCAAATATAATTTGGAATGTTATAAGCCGCTGTAATATATTGTGAAGCGATAAGCTCACGGGAGATTTGTGTTGTCTGCCAGCGTTTATCATCCTGATTACATCCCGCCTAGTTTATGATGCCTACTCAATTATCATTATGTCGCCTCATTTGTATGTTTGTCGTCGGCCGATTTTGACAGGGCTAATTTTTTTTTCGGCAATATTGTGTGTGTGTGTGTGTGTGTGTGTGTGTGTGTGTGTGTGTGTGTGTGTGTGTGTGTGTGTGTGTGTGTGTGTGTGTGTGTGTGTGTGTGTGTGTGTGTGTGTGTGTGTGTGTGTGTGTGTGTGTGTGTGTGTATTCTCGTTCTTGTTTTTCTGTCGACAAATCAACTATTAAGTGTCACTCTTTCAACTCATTAAACCTATTACACCTTGGCCTCTTTATCAAACACACACATTTGTTCATTGCATTTACATTTTTGTTCAAGAGACGACTGAACATCTAATTTACCTCGGAACCCCCCCACCCCCTGCCGCACATAAACGCCCTTCCATTAAAGATCAAAGTTTATCACCTCCCACAGTAAACATTTACACCATTTTCACCACCACAGTATTTAATTTTATACTATTTAGTGTATACATTTTTTTTATATATAGTATACAACACGGAGTCTCAGTGCCCGATGAGAAAAAAAAAACGATAAACATTTTTTTAAAACCGGCTGAAACTTAATTCCAACGGACTTACATATTCATAAGTCAACTAAAAACCTCAGCTCCCCCTATACACTTTCCCTAGCCTTGATAACCCAATTTTTACACCACAGCGTAGATGATGGAGGTTGGAGGTAAACGTCAGTATATTTTTCTAGTAATTGTGAGTCTTGGCTACATTGGATTGGCTATGTTAACTGCTACATGGCCTTATAGATATATTATAGCCAACTGTGTTAACTTTATCTTCTATATCTGTTTCCTTACCTATAGTTATTATGCTTCATTGTCATTATCTCTCATCATCATTATTTCTCGCCATCATTATCTCTCACCTTCGTTATCTCAGCATCAGTATCTTTCAGAATCATTATCTCTCACCACCAACATTTCACTATCATTATCTCCCATCACCATTAACCCCCACCATCACTATCTCGCGCCCAGACAATACCAAACTTATCTGTGTCATCTTTTATTGCATTCAGCTCCAACTTCAGTGGTCATTCTTTCAGCGAATTCCCAATGTAAGTTCTTGCAATTTTTTCCCTAGTTCAACCTTGCAGGAGGATAATCCGATGATTCTTCAATTACATCTGTCGATAAGTAATATTTTGGCCCCTAGTGTTTATAATAAAAGATATAATATGATGGACGTTTAAAAGAATAACAAGATTAATTTTAGTGTTTTTCGTGTTATGTCGAAACTCTTTAGATTATCTCATCGGATTTCATGTTAATATTCATACAACCCCAAAGAAAGGTGTGAAATCTAGTCCTTTTGATTGTCGTCTGATTTTTCTCTTCTCGACAGTTGCAATGCTTCCTGTCACACACTTTGAAAAGAAAAATTTATTCAGTAACTAACAATATGGCTTCAGTAGTGGATGTTCTAATTCTGATCTTACGTCCTTTTCATATAGTCTTCTTTCCTTCCAGCAATTGATTACTGTGATGAAATATAAGAACCAGAACTTGACCGCTCCGAAAGTATTTAACAGTTTGATAAAGATACTTAATGGAAAAATTACCTTCTTATGACCTTTCCTCTTTAGTTCCTTTTAATTTACCTTTTCTGTCTGGTCATAAAATGTCTAGAGTTCTGGAAGGTTATTCATTGATTTTACTCCATTAATGCCGGAGTTCCTCAGGGTTCCTTCCTATCACTCACTCATTTTCTCGATTATTATTCAATAACAAAACTATTCACTCATATGAGATTGTCCAGCCTTATTGAAAGTTTAAGCATCAGCATTACTTCAAGTCTTACCGTAATAAACTTTGTCATAAATTTAGCCAAAAAAGAATCAGTGAAGCTTGGACACATGATCAGCCAGCAGACTCTACAGTAAGTAACCATTTGTATGTCTTGAACTCTCTCAGGTGTGACATTTTATATTCATCTGTGGGTTGGGTGTTCTGTTAGGGCACGTCACCTCCTCGATACAGTCTAGAAACACAAAACAAAACACCAAAGGAAACCTACAGTGATGATCTTTCTACAAAATGTATCCATTATTTCACATTCATAGAGACTGTTATTGTTCTACATATTCTATAGGAATTTCTAGTTAGTCTTCTGGCGAACTAAACTCAATATTACCATCACCACCATGCATCCTCAATCAGCTTACGAGGACACCTCATAGGACCTATGGCCTTTCTGCTCATATCTCATTATTTACCCTATGAAGAAGAAGCCTTGTGTGGAACTTTTTGCCTATTTTTTTTTCCTATGGCATATAACTTCTTTTAATTTAAGTCATCCTGTGTTAAATATCCTAGGTCTTTATAATGGCGACGCCTCGGTGAATACTCATGATATTTGTTTGATGTGTCTCTGTGCTTTTATTCGTTGAAAAATAAACAATTCTTACCCTCATTATCTCTCAACATCATTATTCCTTACCATCATTATCTCTCACCATCTTTTTTTATCATTTTCATTGCCTCACACCATCATTATTCTTTGTCCTCATTATCTCTCATCATCATTATTCATCGTCTTCATTATCTCTCATCATGAATACTCCTCACTATCAATACTCCTCACCATCATTACTCCTCACCATCATTACTCCTCACTATCATTATCTCTCACTATCATTATCTCTCACCATCATTATCTCTCACCATCATTATCTCTCACCATCATTACCCGTCTCCAACATTTCCTTTCTCCATTATGATCTCTCTCCATCGTCCTCACTCACCATTATTTACTCTCACCGCCAACATCTTTCACCATCATCATACCTCACCATCATTTTGCCTTAACACGAAGTTCATCGCCTTTATGCTGAAACGGGAATTCCTTGACATAAAATTTTCACATGTTTTCACCCTACAAATTGGATTTCGGAAATGCCTTTGTTGGAAATCCAACCAGTTGAACTGAAGCTGTGAGTGGCAACCTCAGGGATTAGTGGTGAGAGAGAGAGAGAGAGAGAGAGAGAGAGAGAAATCGATACTGAGTACGCTTACCACAGGAGAATGTGTTCAGTTTTCGTCTTTCTTTTGAATTGACTTTGGCTTTCTTAGAATCGGAATTTTAATAACTGTGTGGTGCTCTCTCTCTAGCTCTCTCTCTCTCTCTCTCTCTCTCTCTCTCTCTTTCTAGCGTGTCTTATTGAGTAAAAGTAATTAAATTTCTTTCATCACTTCTCAATAGGAAATTATATTCCTTTATGTTCTAGTAATAACCACTACTCACGACTTTTTTATAACACAACCACACAAAAAATATTCTCAGATATAAGTTATGACGTTCCTCTATACATTTATATTCCGACTGAACTAATTTTATGATTCTCTGAGTAAATATTGTCGAGCTAAAACCACAAATAACACTGATATCATGACGGGTGTTTAGTAACAGCTGATACCTCCAGTGATGTAAAGGTTTCCAGGAAAATATATAAAGGAGGAAATATGTTCAACTTGTGACCCTCACTATGAAAAAAAAAACCAATCTACAATATCTTTAAGTAAACTATTCATAATTTTATCTCCTTTAAATTATATGCTGTAGTGAACTTGGCCATTAGTGATTTTTTTGTTTTACATATATCCCATCATCATTACACCCGCCATTACGTGTCATACGGTGATGGAACAACAGCAATACATCTTACATAACACATAACAGACACTAACGACTCAAGCATCACTAACAAGGGCTAAAACATACTCATTAAAGATAACGTCAGGGATAATAGTCTGAACTTACTCTTGAGCAGTAAAGGATAAAGGACAACACAGGATCTTTATGACACGATATATTTTTACAAAAATAACAATTTACAAACAATAAAGTATGAATCCTGTGAAAGAAATATGTAGAGTGACATTGAGAGAAATAAAGTGGCAGCCAATTACATGAAACACTACCAAGACATGAAACTGCAGCACTCTAGGTAGAAAAATCTTCCTAAAAAGCTTTTCTGAATAATTTATATCCGGAACACCACCACTTTCAGTCTACATGGACACCGTTTCTCGCCTTACATAGAATAAACAATAATACAAACTTAAATCTAAATGCTTTCATAAGACCCAATCAGGAAAGAAAGATAATAAATATCCACATATAAATCCGTTAAATAACTTTTTAGGGATTTTTTCTTCATAGAAGGGCAAGCCGATTAACTTAGAACGGCAGTAAGTGTCTAGGGTAAGGGGGAGGCAATACACAAAACGTCGTGGCCGAGGGCATCGACACGCACTTCCGCGAAACTTGGAAACCATGAAAAGATAAAATATGCAAAATACGGAGAACGTTATACGTAACTTTGAGCTCGCCATTGCCCTAGGAAAATATATGTACATGGGCGCTTACACGTGAATTTGTGTACGTATATATATATATATATATATATATATATATATATATATATATATATATATATATATATATATATATATATATATATATATATATATATATATATATATATATATATATATATAGCAAGTCTTTAGCAACGCAATGTTTTAATTTTGACCGAAATAATGTTTGTGTGTTAGGTGTGAGGAGGAGGAGGTAAGGAAGCAGTTATGTTACTCTGGATTATTCATGAAGTTATTCCTCTTGTGTCTCGCCATAACATATTTATTTGGGTTATATTATTAAGAAGAGTTTTTCTCCGTATAACGAATGGTGCAAAAAATCAATTTATCGGCATTATTAAGCTAGTATGGCTTTTAGGGGTATTAGAAGAATATGGGTGAATGCATGGCAAGAGACTTGCAATAATACTGCATATATAAATATATAAATATAAATATATATATATATATATATATATATATATATATATATATATATATATATATATATATATATATATATATATATATATATATATATATATATATATATATATATACTGTATATGCATACATGAAAACATTGCTATTACACATGGTTTATATTGTTCTCGGAGATAGGAGGTAAGTTCTTTCCACTATTATGTTACGTGCAAAACATGTTAACATTCACTGCAGGAATTTTGTAGTATACAGTCTACCAATTGTCACAAAAAAGATTATGTATCACAATTCATTCACTAGAAAATCGCAAATTTCTCAGCATGAAAGATATTTTTGTTTATATTTCCCCCAGGTCACCCACAGTAAGGAAGGTTTAAGGGTAGTGAGAGAGGGCGTGAAGCCTCCTGGAACACCGGTGTGGCACAGGATGTCTTCACCATCCTCACGTTTACTTACATTTACCCTTTGTGGGATACAAGGATAACCTAACCTTAAAAAAATCCTACAGCATAAGAATTGTCGAGCTACGTAACGGTATGAAACGAAAGTGCCGACCATTATAGTGTATACAGACGGCACTAGCAGCGGGACCCTGTCATTGGTAGTGAAGAATACCAGCCTTTTACATATCAAACCTGCACAGTGTATATATGGTACATTGTGTCTCTGTACATCTGGCTCTAAAGTCTTCTTTTGTCTCGGCACACCAAGTACACCTTTAGTGTACTACTTCTGACAGCGGACGAGGCTGTATTTCTCCCCACACATGATGGGAAGCGTCCCTCGCCTGCCCTGGAGGAGCCTTCCTTGACATGACTTGATTCACCGACATACACACACATATACTCTCTGACGCACATGTTTAGCCATGTGTACACATGGCGGTCGTGTAGGTAAACACCCAGTGTACACAAGATGAGGAATATAAAGAAGGTGACGTACAGTACGTGGTGGCCGGAGTGTGTGAGAGAGAGACGCTACGGTGACAGTCGCCTGCAGGCAAACATCTGTAGGGCGTCAGACTGTCACCCTGTGGGATGTGTTACCGTCAGGAGAAGTGCTGATGTCCCAATCAAACATGAATTTTGTTTTGGATCATTAAAAGACGCATTATATGGATGATAACATGTCTATCAGGCTGCACGGGATATAGCTTCAATCAACTGACTTCCCGCTCACTTCTCTATAACAAAATTCCCTCAAAACCATGAAATTGAATAATGGCTCACTGATGGCATTAGTGTTTACTTTATTCACACGAACAAGCACAAACGCGGACATAACAACCTCACTTCACCCAATGATAGCGAAATTAAACTCTTGGATATCTGTCGAGTTAGATCTGTCGAGTATCTCACACCGAGAATAATTGTCATAGTTGATCTTCGCTTTAGTAGTTAGTGTTGATAATCTGCCGTTAATCTCGACACCTCAGAGCACGAGCCTCGCTATAACCCAGCTACACTACACGTGTTTGTTAGCAGCCATGAGTGAAATTCCCAAATATACACCTTACTCTGTGTGGGTGTAAACTGGTATAGGTGTAGATGCGTGTAAATGTAACTGGGTGTAAGAGGGTGTAGGTGGGTGTAGGAGATAGTGTAGATGGGTGTATGAAGGTGTAGGTGCGTGTAGGAGATAGTGTAGCTGGGTGTAAGAGCGAGTACTTATGTTCAGTCAGTAACCAGAGGAGCCGGAATATAAGCACCAGGTACTGTACTCCTTCAGGTTTCATTAATGTAACATATATTTAAGTCACTGAGGCATGAGTGAGCCATTGAGGTGATATATAGCCATCGGTTGCCTGATTAAGCCATAGTATGTCTGCCTTCTTGTTCCATATATGGCTCTTTCTTTAATTGCAACTTTTATGAACAAATTGACGTATGTAGATAACAGTGGACATTAGCTCTTATAAATTTTGAGTAGTATTCATAGTTCATAGATCTGCAAATAACAAAATGGAACTGAAATCCCGTAAAACTTGAAACTTTTCTTATATCTGTCAATTAAGAAAACTTCAGTTCATATATAAAATTGTAAATTATATTAATTGATCTAATTATCCTATTTTAAGTCGTCAAATATAGTGAGAAAAAAGGTCTATATTATACAGATCTAAAATAGCCTTAAATAGTTATGTAATATAAGAGTGAAGTAATCTCTTAAGTCAAACATTTATTTATTGACTAAAACTAACCATAGACAACAATTGAAACTTTTTTTCTTGGTATTAATATTAACATAAGGACCAAAAAAATATATATATATGATCTTTACCACTGACGCCACGGTACACACACACACACACACACACACACACACACACACACACACACACACACACAGAGGGAGATAAGGGGGGACATTAACTATGCAAAGATAATTTTTTTTCCATTTTGTTTTACACTTATGAAAATATTGAGATATTGAGCTGGCCGGACACTCAGCGCTGGAGCCTCTAAGCTCTTCATCACCATCTTCTTCAGTAGCTTTCACTTTGCATGTTTCATATTGTCTGTTCCTTTCTCTCCATTATATTTATTCTCTAATTATTCTCTTCTCTTCCTTCCTATACCTAATTCGTTCTTGTATTTTCCGTCACTGTTTTTATTTACGTTATTATTTTTTTATTTGGTCTTTATTTATTATGTTTCGTTTTCTTTTCATTTCTCAGTTCTTCAATTTCTTTATTCATGACTTTTTTTGTATTTTTATTTTATTTTTCTATATTTTTTATTCATTCACTAATATTTATACTCATTATTTCTTTCTATATTTATATCAGGACACTAGTTACTTTTTTTTCTATTTTATTATATTTCATTATTATCTGTTTCACTTCTTACTCATTTCTCTTCCTTAACATCTCTTATTTTTCTTCATTTGCAACTATTAACCAAAGTTCCTTCAAGGTGTAATGACTTATTACCTATGTACGTCTATACACTCATTAACTTTATATTTAATTAATCCACATTATTATCCTCTCTTCATTAACATAATTTACCTGGTGATTAATTCGATTATTTGTTTCTCGTAATATCTCACCTGTATTCGTCTTCATTCCCTACTTTACAGATTCCTTTTCCATTGGTGTCATCATGTATCCATCGTCTTCCATTCCACTCTCACCTTTTCCGTTATCATCATCATTATCAGCATCATCAGTCAGCATCACGACACTCCGTCATCATTATCTGTGACGTTACCGTTCCTTCTTACTTTCTCTTATTAAATATTTCCCAAGTCTTGTCCGGTTGTTATTTATGTCTGTTAACGTCCTAATATAACCCTTTCAGCATCATACGCTATTTTTACTCCATATATAACATGTAGTATTATATTGTCATTATACATAGCCGTGAGAGTTCGGCCAAGTAGTCTAACAGTATATTAGCAGTCTAGGAATAATTAGGACGCTTCATCATTATATTTACACACATAGGAGTACATTATACTTATATGTTCTCTCTATGTTTCTTCCTGTTCCTGTATGTAAAGTGTTCAAGGTCTTCCATCACTCACTCTTCAGTTACGTAATGTCACCTGTCAGTAGAGAAAAAGTTTTCAGGATTCTGTCACTTATTCTCCTCCACAGCATTTATACCTTCATCGAGATTTTCATGTTTTGTATTTTTTTTTTTTTTCTTTTATGTGTATCTGGTTTCTCGTTCAACTTCTCTCGATACACTTGGACATCCACTGCTCTTTCCCTCACTCAAACCATAAAGTTTGACTCCAGTGATCACTTCTGAACTTTTCTACCCTATCACTTGTGAGTCTTTCTTATCATGACATGTTGTTGTTCCACGTAGAGAATCGCGTGCGCTTGAGTGATTACCTGACACACACACACATATATTTCTAATGACTTACCCAGATACAAGTCGCTCATTTATTCAGAACTATCTTCGTCGTCCACTGGGTAAGAAAGTCTACGTATACATCACGCATTCACAGACGTACACACTCACACACCACCAGGCCAGGTCTTGTAGGGTGCTCACGTGCCAAAAATATAGAATACACATTTAGCATGGGAGTGGCCGAGAGTCTCTGTGACTTAACACAATATTGTCCCACATAATGTTTTCTCTGCCACTGCTGGACCGACAACTGTTCATCAGTGTTCATAGGACCAGTTTTTTGTTCACATCTGATTTTTTTTTGTTTCATTCTCGGATATTTATAGTTCATAAGTCTTTATTCTCCGGAGAAAGAAGTTGGTGCAATATGGACAGCATTCGACCACAACACTTAGTTTTTAGTTATTTATTTATTTATATATGTATATATTGTTTCAGTGTTATTATGTCTCCATCACACCCCATAAACTGTCTCCACGCTGGACGAAGTCTCCACCATAATGATTAGGTCATCATTTAATAAACTGTCACTTAGTCTTCCTCTCTGTTATTATTATTTTAGTTAATTTGTTAATGACCTCCACAACTTGACCTTACATGTTATTAGGTTGTTTGTCCAGCTGTTGTCTTGTATACCTCAACTAATCATAAACAACAGAGATAAGTCTCATCTCACTCTTGTCTCAGTCTTGTCTCAGTCTTGTCTCACTCTTGTCTCAGTCTGTTATCCTGTAAATAAAAGAAAAACCTTTGGAACGCTACCATATTTTTCTTATTCTCTTTAATCTCAGGACAATTATTTTTCTGACACATTAAAACATTTTTATTGTCTGTTTCTTCCTGATTGTTTGTGACAGTGTTGACGTGTTCAGCTGTGTTCAATGATTAACTAAATGTATCATTAGAGCTAATAATGATAGAGGTTGACAACTGTCCAGTGTGAGGTGGTTTAAACTGTATATGTTAGTTGAATGTGATGTTTATTTTAAATGTTTGTCAGCCAAGTTAAAGTTACTGACTTGGCTGCGTGTTGTCTTCCCTGTCTAATTGTCGTTTTATGTTTTCCAGACCGATAAAGTTTCGTCCGCCTGTCTGTCATATATCATGTCTCTCTCTTTGTGTGCACCTAACGCTGCAACCCTAAAAAGATTTTATCATCTTGACAAAGGATTGATTTTATTTTAGATATAAAGGGGTTGAAGTATGGAAGTCAAGTCTAACTGTTTTAGCTGTGGAGGTCAAAGTTTGTCTTAGCTGTGGAGGTCCAGGTTTAATTGTTTTAGCTGTGGTGGTCCAGATTCAGTCATCCAAATGGTGACAGCATGGAGGGCTCTCAATGGCCCTAGCAGTGATGGTGGTGGTATTCGGGGGAGGCCATTATGAGGCCAAGTGGAGGCCAGGTGGTGGAGGCCAGGTGGTGGAGGCCAGGTGATGGAGGAGGTTCAGTGGCAGGTGATGAGGTGTGTGAGGAGGAGCAGCCCCGCCAGTAGCGTCACAGAGCCACGTAGAGACACGGATGAGTCCACCGCCCGGGGCTGTATTGCGGCGATCTTGTTAGCTGCTCCAGGTGGGGGAAGAGACGAAGGGAAAATCTTAAACCTTAGTTCCTTGACCCCGAGGAGAACACAAATGTAATTCTCTTAATTATTAAAATTGAATGATGTAATTGTTGTAGTCACCCCTCTGAGATGTCATGGTTGTTAATTAAATGAGACAACATGATTCACGAGGGTTAATTATCTTCCCAATTATATTACCTTTATGATCAGCTTAATTTCGTAATTGAAAGGACTTCAAGGAACATTAATTTATCAATCACAAAATACCTTTATGTTTATTTACAGGTAATATTATTGGAAATAGTAATGGTAAAGTTTGGGGACTAGTATCTAAGCAGTGTTAGCATTGGCATGTGGATAGAAGTGGGTAGATGGGAAGCAGTGGACAGGTGAGATGGTGGGAATAGCTAGTTGAGTAAGCAGGGAATACTGGATAGTTAGGCGTTAGAAGTGGATAGGTGGGGAGAGTTAAATAGGTGGAAATAGTGTAGAGAAGTGGTCAGTGGTGGGGAGATGGGAGGTGGAAGAGGAATAATTCAGGTGGGTAGGTGGGCAATACAGCCCAGGTTGGGGGAAAAAATCGTGCTCAGGTGCGTAAATCTTTTTTTAATTGATTAAGAGGTGTAGGAGAAATCATGTACAGGTTGACAAGAAATTAGAAAAAAAAGGTAATTACGAGGTGGGGAGAAAGCATGGTTATTCAGGAAGAGGTGAGCATCAGGTGTACACAAAAAGCAGAGGAACAGAACAGGTTAATTAAGGTGGTGAATCAGCTAATAGACGTTTTACCTTCCGTGATGTAGACAGTGATGGAGGCTGGTTTAGTGTTGGCCGCAGCGCACGTGTAGTTGCCGGAGTCCGAAGACCGAGCATTACTGACACTGAGGAGCGACTTAACCCGAGGCCCACTCTCGATGTGGACACTCACCCCACCTCGCTCCCTGTCGTAGTTGATCATCCGTGAGTTGTGGTACCAGAATATGTACTGCGGCGCCACGGGGCTCTGGAGACGGCGAGGAGGAAGTGGTTAGTGTGTGGTACTAGGAACAGATGATGGGTACTAGGTGTTAGTGAGGGTAGTATACCACAGTGGTCCTAAAAGTTTGTAAGAGCTATTAAGTAATAATGAAAAAATAAATTATAATAATAATAATGGAACATAGTGATTGATGTAAAATAGAGTATTGTGGACATTTAACTTCTGTGTACAACATTGTTTTGTATTCCGCTAATACATGTAATAATAATATATATATATATATATATATATATATATATATATATATATATATATATATATATATATATATATATATATATATATATATATATATATATATATATATATACAGTACATGAGAAATAGGGGAAGAAATAAAACTCCGCCGTATATCACAAATAGAATTTCCGGCTTGGACTTTTCCACTACAGAAAACGTGGCTAAAATGGTTTGTGTTGAGGCTGAGAGTATCAGCCACATGTGTAGTGGCTGGATAAGCCTACTTCCGTGGCCTGTATTCACCGCTGCCACCCGACCGAGCCTGTAGGACGCTTTGAAAGTCCTGTGAGAGAGTGTGAAGTGTCGGGGGGGGCTGAGTTGGGGAGACACGAAAGAAGAGTTGAGGTTGTGGGATGACTGATGAGGGTGGAGGGAGTTGATACTTGGTCAGGGACGGAGAGTCAATGTTTGGTGAGGTGAGAAGGAAGTTTAGTTGGGTATTAGGGAGAGAACGATGAGGTTTACAGTGAGAATATAAAGTGGGACGAGACAAAGTAGACAGGGTGTCAGCGATGATGATTGATGATGCTGATAATGATGATGATGATGATGATGATGTTGATGATGTTGATGATGGGGGGGTTAAGAGGAATGATGTTGATTATTGGAAAACTAATGATGAAATCCTTTTGGTTATCTATAAGGCGTGGGATGATGAAGCCGTGTATTTGACAAGAGTTGGTCGTAAGGGAGAGTCTCATAACGTCTTCGGTAAACACGAACCCGTGATCTTTGGCGACCTTGATTACCACTGAGCCACCCTGGGGACCCTGGACAAATACCCAGATTAAGTGAATCCATTATTGTACTGATGTTGACCCTTAAGCCCGAGGGGATAGGGGCGAGGGGGTGCTTCTTTCTCTCTACTTTTCTTTAATCTGTTAACCGGAGCAAGTTCTCCTTTTGTGTCTGCTGAGTGTAGTTACGAAGTTGTTAGGAGTGGTAGTTAGTTATTGCTGGTAGTGTGATGTGACTGGTAGTTAGAGATGGAGTAGATAACACAATATGGAAGAGATAGTTGGAGGAAAGTAGTTAGAGAGGTAGGTAATTCTGAGGTAGTTAAGAAGGAAGGCATAAAAGATGTAGACAAGTTGGTATGAGGTTCAGTAGATAGACATGTGGGTCGGCTTTTGTGAACTCCTAAACCTAACTTCTACCTCAAGTGGTGGTATTTATTATCAGCGTCTAACTCTCTCTGTCAGTTCCGTAAGTAAACAAGGAAAGTTTCTGGTTATCTTTGTTATTTAGGTTGTTTGCCTCAGTGACTTAATTGGTGTTATTTTAGGGAAACTTTACTTACGTATTCTTTGTGAGAGTTCGAGGCCTCCATGTTTTCTTTACTCTATTATTAATCTTGAATTATTTGACGCCATTCTGAGCATCTATAAACAGTATATGTTATCTAAATTATATTCCTTTTATTTACATATTCAATTATCTGTCTAAGTTAACTTAATTTTGTACTTTAAACATCGAGCTACGTTAATGTAACTGAATTATTATTTTTAATGTTAATATCAGCTTATCTTTGTAAGGAAATTGTAATGTTATTTTACTTTACCGTCTGTATGTCTGTTGGTTTAATGTAGTTGAATTCCACTTATGATATATCAAAAGATCTCAAAGGTATTTATAAATATCTACAGTCTCTCAAATCACTGAAGTTGACTAAACCTTCGACAATCAAGGAAGGTTATACGGATAAGTAAATAAGTTGATAAATACTTAAATAAGTGTGGAGGATACTGAGGGTTTCTAAGAGATCCTGAGTATAAGAGATACCGGAAGACCTCGACGGTGAACGGTGAAGGAGGTGACATAGAAGCCTGGAGGAAACATTTGAGGGAGTCTGTGTATGCTGGGGGGTAATAAAGGCGGCACACAAAGGGTAACTATAGGAAGCCGTGTGGAGGGGGACAAGAATTAGTAGAGAAATGTTGAGAGGGAATGGTTGTTGTTGTGGTTCCTTAATTGTTATGGGGTTTTTTTATTTCTTCATTAATCACGAGAGCGTGGGGGGAGTGCTCGCCGCTATATGAAAGCACTTTTATTGTATTTCTGTATTAAAAAAGAAATGCTAAGAATAAAAGTAAGATAGAACAGGAAATTTTCAACTATATAGTGTATAGAGATGTATAGACTCATACATATTATTCATGCATTTACACAAAGGCAACTGTCATGAATGTCAGCAATTTTTTGGATATTCTTATATATAATGACCCATAACGATAATATATTAATTAATATATTTATTTTATTATCTCAAACATGATGTTATCAG